AGGAAGGAAGGAAGGAAGGAAGGAAGGAAGGAAGGAAGGAAGGAAGGAAGGAAGGAAGGAAGGAAAAGAAGGCAGCTGATACTATCAAACTTCTAGTATCTTTGCCAGGTACACATAGGAAGGAAGGAAGGAAGGAAGGAAGGAAGGAAGGAAGGAAGGAAGGAAGGAAGGAAGGAAGGAAAAGAAGGCAGCTGATACTATCAAACTTCTAGTATCTTTGCCAGGTACACAAGCTGGTCCTTGCATAGCAATGCTGTCATTCTATCTGCTAATACACTGACAGTTTTGAATATTACACAAGCTTCCTCTTTAAAGGGGTCCACCAATAACTAACAGTGAGCATTATCGTGCATAATTTTTATTGTTTGTTTTTTTACAAAATCTGTAAAAAATCTGTACAACTTGCACAATTACTGGAGTGCAGGCAAAAAGCATGACCTGGGAGCTGTTCAGATCTCACCCTTGGTCATAAAATCTCTAATCCGCTTTAACAAAGCTTCTGCCTCAGCACCACCTTCGCATGCAACAACTTGACAGCCTTACCAGAATTAGCACTAGAGTTACGGGAATCATTTATATGTGAATAATTCTGAACCATCAAAGCACAACATAAATGTAATATTATTTTGTTTGCCTCTTATATTGTTAGGCTATTGTATTCTAAATGAAGTATTATTATTCTGGCTCTTCCATGCCTGGGTGGGTCACTTGAATTCGATTCCAAGTCCACTTTCTCCTCTGGAATATGACAACCACCACCTGAAATAGATTCCAGGTTCTTCTCCACCTTCTCTGGAACACGACAACAGTCACTGGAATCTGATTCCAAATTCTCCTCCTCTGGAATATGACAACCACCACCTGAAATAGATTCCAGGTTCTTCTTCACCTTCTCTGGAACACGACAACAGTCACTGGAACCTGATTCCAAATTCTCCTCCTCTGGAATATGACAACCACCACCTGAAATATATTCCAGGATCTTCTCCACCTCCTCTGGAACACGACAACAGTCACTGGAATCTGATTCCAAATTCTCCTCCTCCACATTATGACAACCACCAACTGAACCAGATTCCAAGTTCTCCTCCTCCTCCTCTGGAATGTGACGACAGTCAGTTGAATGGGATCTCAAGTTCTTCTCCACCTTCTTTGGGGTGTGATGACTTTTAAATCTGTTCTGCTCTGAAGCGCGTCCACCCCGACCGCCACTGCCGCTGCTTTGTGCAGAGTGCCCTTGTGGCCTTCCGCCATCTTCTTCAGATGGAACCGATGAAATCGGTTTCGCCTGAGAAGGCAGGGTCACCCGCTTTCGGTAGAGCTGGATCCTGGCGAGTGCGGCGATGATGGCAGCTAGGAGGAGGAGGCCGAATACAACCCCCAGTCCGATCCACAGTTGGCTGCTGCCCATATTCAAGGAGTGGGAAAGGCTGTCCGCGCCAATTGCTTCCTGTCTGAGACGACGGTCCCGAGGGCCCGATCCCATTTACAGTGGCCGTCTCTTAGTGCTGCTTTCTCCCACCAGCGTCATAATCGAGTTCAGAGGCAGAACGACACATCACGGTGTGTCAGCAGATGACAAAGGCATCCAGGGAGAAAGAACGCGAGTGGAACTAATGCCGGTTTGAGATCCTTTCCTGAACGTCACTCCTCAGATGTCTACGGCGGCACCTTCACTTTGATCCCCGGAAACCTTGTTTAGGGCAAGAAAGAACCCTTTCTTTTAACAAAAACTCTAGGACTCCTTACGAGGGTTGATGACCTCCAGGTGGGGTCTGGTGTTCTCCCAGGATGACCGCTGATTCCCAGACGACAGAGGTAAGCCCCTCTGGAGAAAATGGCGGCTTAGAAAGGCGGGCTCCAGGGTATCACGCCGCTGATGATGTTCCTTCCCCACTCCAGGCTATACCCCCAAATCTCCAGGAATTTCCCAGAGTTGGCAACCGTACTACTGACATCGCCTCAAAGAAGCTATGTGGCCAGAATCATATTCTCAAAACCTTGACGTCCTATTGGCCAGTTATATACTGCCTTTACTGGTTTTGCAACCGGAGTCATAAACCGCGAACCCTCATCCCACGACGAACCCCGTTCCACAGGAAAACGCGGAAGAGTTCAAAGGCCGCTACTGCAAAACTTGTCATGTGATTTGACAACAGCTGCTAGAAATTTCGCGCCACAGAGAGTCGTCTGTCTTCGTCTCTAAGTAACCAACTATTAAGCCTAAGTCACTTCATTACAGTGGTGGAAAAGGTCTTCAAGGCAAGAGATGTTCAGAGGTGGTTGGCCGTCGGCCTGCCTCTCCATGGCAGCCCTGGACTCCCTTGGTGGTCTCCAGTGTTCCCTCTAAGCTGAGTTAGTGTGAGCTAGCTCGCAGTCTTTTAGCCTCCGACTCACACTTTTTTCTCTTAGCTCAGGAAGGATGGCTCCGGAGCAAAATACTGTATTTTTTGGACCATAAGACTCACTTTTTCTTCCAAAAAAAAGTGGGAGGAAAAGTGAGTGCGTCTTATGGACCAAAGGTTCAGAATATTTTTTCCCGTTTTCCTCCTTTAAAAACTAGGTGCGTCTTAAGGTCAGGTGCGTCTTATGGTCCGAAAAATACGGTAATTTAAGCAGCAGCCAAATCGCTCGCTCACAACTGTAATGCCAACTAGGTCACCAAAGTAGAATTTTTTCTCACAAGACTCCATAGTTTAGAGAGAGCATTGGACCAGTGTTCCCTCTAAGCTGAGTTAGTGTGAGCTAGCTCGCAGTCTTTTAACCTCCAACTCACACATTTTTCTCTTAGCTCAGGAAGGATGGCTCAGGAGCAAACTAATTTAAGCAGCAGCCAAATCGCTCGCCAGCACCCAATCCTTTGAAAATATACAGAACCTCCAAACAGCAGAGCAGCGGGTGAACATTACTGATTTATCAATATGTTGTCGAAGGCTTATTTATCATTCAGGATAATTATCAGACTGCCTCATAACAGAGGCTCTCAATGCTCATAACAATTAAAATTCTACATAATACCAAATAATACCAAAAAATAATAATCAGCTTGATTCAAGCCCAGTAGCATCTTAGAGATTAACAGGATTTCAGTTAATTACTCTTAGCACCCCACAATTAAGAAGGATACATTTACACATTAGTCTCCGACTCTGACATTTTTATTTGCTTCACTCTCTTTCCTCCCCTGTTAATTAAATCCAAACAAATGGCGATCATATAAACTTAGCACGTTATTCCTGTTTGGTCTTTGCATCTGTTAAAGCATCTTCATTAGGTTGTATGCTAATTTGATGCTCACCCTCTGCCTATATGTACGGACGGCTGACTTCCCTTCCAATGGATCTGAGGAAGTGTGCACGCCCATGAAAGCTCCTACCTTGAATAAAACTTTTGTTGGTCTTAAAAGTGCCACTGGACCCAAACTTTGCTCTAAGGTTTCCAGGGTTCAAGCTGTCGAAAGTCAAAGACTCCCTTCGTTAGAGAGCACTGAATCTTGAACGCTCATATCATTAAAACCTGGTTGGTCTTTAAGGTGCTACTAGACTCGAATCTAACTGTTCTATCGCAGACCAAAACAGCTGTCCTCTGAAACGAACAAAATATATATATATCCATCACTCCCTTAAATCATTAGTAATTATGAAATGCCCAGTAATTCAAGCATATGATAATGATGATGATAGAAGAAGAAGAAGAAGAAGAGAAAGGCTGTCCGCGCCAATTGCTTCCTGTCTGAGACGACGGTCCCGAGGGCCCGATCCCATTTACAGTGGCCGTCTCTTAGTGCTGCTTTCTCCCACCAGCGTCATAATCGAGTTCAGAGGCAGAACGACACATCACGGTGTGTCAGCAGATGACAAAGGCATCCAGGGAGAAAGAACGCGAGTGGAACTAATGCCGGTTTGAGATCCTTTCCTGAACGTCACTCCTCAGATGTCTACGGCGGCACCTTCACTTTGATCCCCGGAAACCTTGTTTAGGGCAAGAAAGAACCCTTTCTTTTAACAAAAACTCTAGGACTCCTTACTAGGTTTGCTGACCTCCAGGTGGGGTCTGGTGTTCTCCCAGGATGACCGCTGATTCCCAGACGACAGAGATAAGCCCCTCTGGAGAAAATGGTGGCTTAGAAAGGCGGGCTCCAGGGTATCACACCGCTGATGATGTTCCTTCCCCACTCCAGGCTATACCCCCAAATCTCCAGGAATTTCCCAGAGTTGGCAACCGTACTACTGACATCGCCTCCAAGAAGCTATGTGGCCAGAATCATATTCTCAAAACCTTAACATCCTATTGGCCAGTTATATACTGCCTTTACTGGTTTTGCAACCGGAGTCATAAACCGCAAACCCTCATCCCACAACAAACCCCGATCCCCAGGAAAACGCGGAAGAGTTTAAAGGCCGCTACTGCAAAACTTGTCACGTGATTTGACAACAGCTGCTAGAGATTTCACGCCACACAGAGTCGTTTGTCTTCGTCTCTAAGTAACCAACTATTAAGCCTAGGTCTCCTCATTACAGTGGTAGAAAAGGTCTTCAAGGCAAGAGATACCCAAAGGAGTCTCAGAGCGGCTCACAAACTCCTTTCCCTCCCCCTCCCCACAACAGACACCCTGGGAGGTAGGTGGGCCTGAGAGAGCTCTGAGAGAGAACTGCTCTTTTTCAAGAACAGCTCTGACAGAACAATGGCTTGCCCAAGGTCATCCAGCAGCTGCAAGTGGAGAATCATCCTTGTGGAGGCTACAGGATGCAGGATTATTCTCCACAGGAACTGAGGCTCGTCACATTGTGAGTGTCAGTAACACCTGAGAGAGGACTGGAGGCGCTCCGTGCAGTGGCCCAAAACCATGAGGTAGGCACCCCTATCAGTGTTCCTTCTAAGCCGAGTTAGTGTGAGCTAGCTCACAGTTTTTCAGCCTCTGGCTCACCCATTTTTGCCTTCGCTCAGGAAGGACGGCTCCAGAGCGAACTAAGTTATGCAGTAGCCAAATCGCTCGCTCACTACTTTAATGCCAGTCACTCACAAAGTAGAATTCTTGCTCACGAGACTCCACAGCTTAGAGGAAGCATTGGCCCCGAAGTATAATGGCTAGGGAAGACTGGCCACACGGAGGCAAGCTTTAGTGCAGTGATGGTGAACCTTTTAGAGACCTAGTGCCCAAACTGCAACCCAAAACCTACTTATTTATCGCAAAGTGCCAACACGGCAATTTAACCTGAATACTGAGGTTTTACTTTAGAAAAAACAACTCATACATTAACTTAAGATGATCCAAACAAAGTAAGGGAAGCAATCCCAAATGCTTTCATTTACTTAAAATTATTTGGCAGAGACTTCGGCACTTTAATGATGGTCTGGGCCTGGCTGGGGCGATGGCACGCGTGCCCACAGAGAGGGCTCTGAATGCCACCTCTGGCACCCGTGCCATAGGTTCGCCACCACTGCTTTAGTGGCTTCCCCACGGCAACACATGCAACAGATCCTGGGTAAAAGCGGCAACGTCCCATAGCTTTTCGCGAAGACCGACCAAACACATACTTCCGATGATCAAAAAATCGCCTCCGATGCAGAAAAACAATGTCCACATCACAGGTATTTCCCCCTCACGGCAAGTCGTTATAAATCTGCACACATAACAAAGCACAAAGACTATTTTAAGTGCAATTAATACACACGGCCTTAAGCAAGCATAACACCCCCTATATCCACTAAAATGCAAAGAATATACTAATTGCAGGCATAACACAGTATTGAAAACGGCTGTGTTAATCTCATAATACATTCCGCGCATAGAGTTCCTCCTGAAGAGGTAGGAAGTCCTGTTTCCTGGCGCACAATGATCCGGTTGTTCTCCACTTAAGCAATGCAGTGTGTGTTCAGCAACTTACTGCCAGCTGTCTGCACCAACCCAGTAGCTGAGAAAGGCAGCTATCACATCAGTATATGACTCACTGGCATAGAGGCCGGTGTGTAGGCTGCCAGTGGAACTAACTGTCATAGCTGAGGAAATGCAAATATATTCTTGTTTCCATGAAGATAACGGAACGTATTTTATACAAGCTGGAAGGTAACAGCTACCTGTTTCCCCCTCGCAGATCTCTCTCTCACACACACACACACGCACACACATTACCTACACATCTTTTCCTCCTCCACCTCTACAAGAAACTATATAATGAGGGTCCCCAACTTTTTTGAGCATGTGGGCACCTTTGGAATTCTGACAAGGAATTCTGAGCCCAACCACAAAATAAGGGTATGACAGAACAAAAGAAGTGTGAAGAAATGCATTTTTGCCTTGGAGGTTTGAAATGAGCAAAACATTCACTCTGAGTTTTAAAAGTCCCCCCCCCCGCCCCAAAATCTGGGCAGAGAACAGGCAGGAAGGGGGGAAGGCAGTCCAATTGCTTT